TAGAAAGAAACAATTTTGAAAATTTGTAAATATACATACAGGGTGAGGCAATAAGGACTAAGGAAAAAATGTTTCATGTGAAATACATTGTATTCGATGAAGTTCATTGAATGGATGCATTTTGATTTTTTGTTTTAAATTTTCTGAGATATCAAGGTGACCTTCAGTTTTTTAAATAGAGTGTTATATATTTTTGTATATAATATCAGAGCAACTATCAAAATGAATTCAACCATATATGTTGTATTAGTAACATCTGTATAGGCAGCATTACATGCATTAGTCACGTCTGTATACGCAGTTTCAATGTAGAGTACTAAAAGTTTTTTGTTAATATCTCAGATACTAATGATTGGCTGCAGCTAATATTTTATATTTAGGGTCCACCCACCCATCTCCCTCTTCCCACCAAATTTTGTGTATCGGCCACTGAGGCCTTTCTTTCGAAACTTGTTTTGCTATGTAGCCTTATCAATAAGAAATACTACTAAATATGATGTTACGAAATGTTCAAACTACTTCTTTCATTCTTGTATGACCTTGGAGCTAATTACGTAACATATAGTTGAATTCATCTTGATAGTCACTCTCATATCATATAAAAAAATATATAGCATTTTATTTAAAAAATTGAAAGTCATTTTGATGTCTCAGAAAATTTAAGACATGAAAAATCAAAATGCATTCATTCGACGAATCCCATCGAATGCAAAATATTTCATATAAAACATTGTTTGATAAAACCAACGAGTAACAAGTTATTTCACATGGCATTTCTTCTAGACTCACACTGTATACTTGGTTGAAAATTAATATAAGTCTCTTCTTCATTTACATTTTGTTTGTTTAATATAAATATTAGATTCCTCTGAACTTATTTAGAATGAGTTTGTGTATGAATAAATTGTATTAGAGGAGATTTGTTGTTAAGTTATGGACAAATTCCTCATTATAAAATCTGATTTATCATAATTTTTTATCATTTACAATAAATAATTATGATATAAATGCATGTACTTATATTAATATATCAAATAATTATTTGAATGATTGTATTGTACATATTTAATAACTTGAGAATTATAAATTTTATATTGAAAAGTGCAACATTTAATTCTTAACAATTTTGTTTTATAGTTAAAGTCTTCTTGGGCAGGATATTACGAATTTAACACTTTTGATCAAAATGGTATAATTGGATCACATCCATATCATAGAAATTTAGTTTTTGCAACTGGATTTAGCGGGCATGGAATTCAACAAGCACCAGCTGTAGGTAGAGCAATTGCAGAATTAATTGTTGATGGAAAATACATGACAATTGATTTGTCAAATCTTAATTTTGATAGAATTATTCATGGCTCACATATGTCTGAAATAAACATTGTTTGAAAAATGTGTTTGTAATAGTTAAGAAAGAATTATATTGTGTATATGCTAGTCATAGAAGTAAAAGTTTGATAAGTAATGAATTACATTTTATATATATTATATATTGTGTAATATGTTCAAATGTTTAATTAACACTTACATATGAAATAATAAGGTGAATTGTTTTAAAAGGGAATGTAACTGGATCTTGGGATGCTTTGGGGAAGATTTTACGGAAATAAGATGTGCGGGACGCATCAATTTGTTTGTTTAACATCACTGAGATGTTAAAAATGATTAATTTGTTTCAAATGTTTTTATGACAAATGTTACGTTTTTATGTCTTTTTCTCAAAACTTGCTTGATTAAATGAATTTGATAGTTTGAGCATATATTGCTTATGAAAAAATTATTTTATATTGTAAAATTTATTTCTATATTTAATGTCATTTTATTTAAAAAATTGAAAGTCATTTTGATGTCTCAGAAAATTTAAGACATGAAAAATCAAAATGCATTCATTCGACGAATCCCATCGAATGCAAAATATTTCATATAAAACATTGTTTGATAAAACCAACGAGTAACAAGTTATTTCACATGGCATTTCTTCTAGACTCACACTGTATACTTGGTTGAAAATTAATATAAGTCTCTTCTTCATTTACATTTTGTTTGTTTAATATAAATATTAGATTCCTCTGAACTTATTTAGAATGAGTTTGTGTATGAATAAATTGTATTAGAGGAGATTTGTTGTTAAGTTATGGACAAATTCCTCATTATAAAATCTGATTTATCATAATTTTTTATCATTTACAATAAATAATTATGATATAAATGCATGTACTTATATTAATATATCAAATAATTATTTGAATGATTGTATTGTACATATTTAATAACTTGAGAATTATAAATTTTATATTGAAAAGTGCAACATTTAATTCTTAACAATTTTGTTTTATAGTTAAAGTCTTCTTGGGCAGGATATTACGAATTTAACACTTTTGATCAAAATGGTATAATTGGATCACATCCATATCATAGAAATTTAGTTTTTGCAACTGGATTTAGCGGGCATGGAATTCAACAAGCACCAGCTGTAGGTAGAGCAATTGCAGAATTAATTGTTGATGGAAAATACATGACAATTGATTTGTCAAATCTTAATTTTGATAGAATTATTCATGGCTCACATATGTCTGAAATAAACATTGTTTGAAAAATGTGTTTGTAATAGTTAAGAAAGAATTATATTGTGTATATGCTAGTCATAGAAGTAAAAGTTTGATAAGTAATGAATTACATTTTATATATATTATATATTGTGTAATATGTTCAAATGTTTAATTAACACTTACATATGAAATAATAAGGTGAATTGTTTTAAAAGGGAATGTAACTGGATCTTGGGATGCTTTGGGGAAGATTTTACGGAAATAAGATGTGCGGGACGCATCAATTTGTTTGTTTAACATCACTGAGATGTTAAAAATGATTAATTTGTTTCAAATGTTTTTATGACAAATGTTACGTTTTTATGTCTTTTTCTCAAAACTTGCTTGATTAAATGAATTTGATAGTTTGAGCATATATTGCTTATGAAAAAATTATTTTATATTGAAAAATTTATTTCTCTATTTAATGTTATCGCTAAAAACAAAAAAAAAATGGTAAAAAGAAATGAAAAAAAATTTCTGGAATAGACGTATTTAAACTCTAGCCATACGGTAGAAAGCATATACTGTTAAGAACTAGAAAGATGTCAGTCGGCTCTGATTGACTCTAGTGCAATAGGTCTACCTTCGCGGACAAACCATAAAAACGACACACACGCATTTCCCTAATTAGCCGAAGGGTCACATAACTTAGTCGACGCTTATAGGCAACGCGTAACAAAGAAAGTGATCAAGACGCATTTGAACTGAGTGGGATAGAGCAATAGCGAGCGCTAAAGTACGAAGCATTGTTGTATGCACAAATTTTTATTTTTTAATTACACGGCAAAAACTTGTTAACTTTACATCAGTTTACGGTACTTTTATTTTTTCATTCTTATACATATTAAGAATATGTTCAATTTCATGAGACATAAGTAGAAACAATCATATTAGTAGGATTTCCGTATTTCTCGCGAATATTGGAATTCTACTACTATGTAAGCGTGGGCCGTGTTTTGGGGCTTCGAGAACGTCAAGAGTGGGAATAGGCGGACTGAACCGAATCTTCCCTTGCCCTTGTAACGGTCCGATGGATATCTTTCTAAGTATACAGGGTGTCCCATAACTCCTCGAACACCCGGAAATGGGGAGTTGCTGGAGTGACTCTGAACAACTTTTTCCTTTACCAAAATGTTGTTTGAAGCTTCATTTTTGAATTATTAACGAAAAACACTGTCCAATCAGAGCGCGCGTAGAGCCCGCGCTCAGGGACGAAACAGGCTCATCCGCGTGCGATCGAACAAATGCGTACGCGTGACTTCTCGGTTATCGGTCGCTGTCAAAAAAATTTGACTTTGCACCGATATTTTTATAAGGCTTAGAGAAATGGTTTTTTGCCGTCACAGAGTGATTCGCGTATATGGGCGTTCGAGACAAAACTCATAACTTCTAAGCTAATCAATTTTCGACCTAAGTCCTCTAATACTTTTTTGAACTCTTTTTAAGAGAATTCTCATATGCATTGATTGGCACATAAAAAAAATGTTTTCATTAAAAAAAATTGTAATGATCTTTATTTTTTTATTGAATAAAAACTTTTTTGTAAATTTACAGTAGTGGTTGGAATTAGAAGTAAATGTAACTATGAAATTACAAATAAGGTATAGGATAGGATATCATATAATCGTACACGAAGTATAGAATTCTATACTTTTATAATACATATTAGGTTGATCGGAAAGTTCTATAGTTTTATTTTCAAAGAAAGTAAACCAAGGCTGTTCCAATGAAAAAGCCTTATCAATTAATTTATGGTATAATATTTATCGTTACTTAAACAGCTCTATTAGGGTGGGCACCTGTTGAATTTTTCTTATTATTGTCATGTGAAAAAGTTCTTCATGTTATGTACCTCGTTTTTGGTATCATTATTTAAAATTAGGTGTGTTTACACCATTCTAATTTTTGCTTTATGATTTTCTTTCTAATTAGAGTCAAATAATAGATACTCTTATTTACGTATCTTACCCCGTATATGCTAAAAACTTCCATTTCACATAGAATGTAAAAATGTTAAAACTACAATAATTTTTATCGAAATGTTGAAAATCATAATTTAAAAATATTCATTCTTCATATTTTTGATTATAAGTTATATACATTATTTATATGGCTGAATAATTTTTGAAGCATTATAAAAACGAAATATTAATGCTTAGTTTTAAGTTATATAGCCATTCTACATAAACGTTAGCACAAAAAGTATATTAAATAATTTTTTCGAAACGTGTCATAAGAATCGGCAATTTATACTTTACGACTGTCATATTATAAAATTGTAACCAATATGATTTTGGTTTCTTTTTTATGTAATATTAATTGTAAAGTATGAAGTATTATCAATATAATTCATAGCATAATGACAAATATTTACATATCAATATAACTACTTTCATCAGTGGGTGGATAGTATTTCTTATACTCATACAATTAATCAGTTTAATAAATACTTTAAAAATTTTACTCTTATTAATACTTAGTACAATATATTTTTCATGAATTGTAATATGTTTTTAATGTAAACTTAAATGAAGAAAGAAAAAATAATA